AAAAAAAAAAACAAAAAAAAAAAAATAGAAAACATCTTTTATACAAAAGTGAAAGTTAATATTTTTAAACATCTTTTATTTCCAAATTAGTTTAAAAAAATTGGTAGGTGACTTCACGTCTTTTAATAACAATATAAAAGATTTTAGATATTTGTACATATGTTACTATTATTTTAGGTGTTTGTAGTATTTTAAACATACAAGTTTTATATTCTATGGTACAAATTAATTTTAGATTGTCTATAATAAACTGATATACGGTAGATTATATCACAATTCACATGTTAAACCCACATTTTTAATTTGTTTACTCTCATCTTTAATTTATAATATTTTTACTTACTCTTTTAAGAAATGATGGTTTCCCACTTCTTTCATTGGGTGACTCGAACTCGAAACCTATTTATAATTATTACTTAATATTGTTTACTCGTGCATCGCACGGGATACGTACTAGTTGTACTGAAAATGTGACTGAGTGAAGTAGAGAAAAGTCAAATGAAAACTTGTCATTTTTCTCCAAACTCCACACATAATCTCTAGCTTTTTCTCCTCAATTTTAAGTTTTTTTTCATATTTTACAATGAATTCTTGATTAATGAATGAGAACAAAACAGCAGTCTATTGTCTAACCAGTCCATACAAACAACAAATATAAATAAAGCACAGACAAAAACAAACGTAAACAGCAGTAAAAGACTAAATGTAAACTTCCATCTTTTCACTTCTTCTTGCCTGCTTTCCCCTCTTTCCTCCGAACAATCTCATCCGCATATTTCACACCTTTGCCCTTGTAAGGCTCGGGAGGCCTCCACTTCCTAATCGAGGCCGCAAATTGACCAATTGCAGACTTGTCATATCCGCTAACTGTAATTCTAGTGTTTTCTTCAACCTTCACCTGCAAGTCATCCGGGATTGCCATTCTAACCGGGTGTGAAAAACCGAGATTGAGAACTATATCTTTTCCCTCGACCATGGCACGATAACCAGTGCCAACCAGCTGAAGTTTCTTCTCGAACCCTTTGGAAACCCCCACCACCATATTATCGGTCAGGGTCCTTTTGAAAAACAAGATGCGTTGTGGTTTAGAAGAAAAAAAAAAGGAAAAGAAAAGAAAGAAATTGGCACTTTTATGAGTAAATCGAGTACAAGAGCACAATTATATATGCACATTGGTATGGTTTATGAGGCTTCACCAGTCTTTCTCATCATCTCATGTCCTATATTATAACTAAAGGGTGGAAAATGTCCTACTCACCACCATTGTTACAGAGTTTAGATGTTCGCTGCTTCGTGAGAATATAGAGCTCTGAAATACATTATTCTTGAATTTACGAAAAAATTACAATCAACTCATATTGCGAAAATTGCTGTACATTACACCATAAGTACAGTATGTTATAATCAACACAGTAGAGAGGATAAGCGGCGAGACACTTACACAAGTAGCAAATTTTACCTCATGCAATCTTATTTTTTAGGCAGAAAAAAACATATTGGTTCATAGGGTTCGAGCTAAAATTTCGTTGTCGTATTTAAATCAATTTTACTAATCAAATCAGCATAAACAAGGGATATTAGAAGGGTATCTAGTTTCATATAACAAATTGTCCATATTCTACTTTACACCATTTCACCAAATAAAAGGTAGATGATCATTCTGCATTGGTTTACAGTGGCAAGAAAATCAACACACTTCAGCAACAGCTATCTCTACACAGCATAACCTCCAAATAAAAAGTAAGAAAAAAAGAAAAAAAAATAAAAATTACCTGAATAAACCATGCATTTGGTTGGCCCTCCTTGTCTCCACAGCCTTCGTTACCTTGAGAACTCCAGATTCTTCTCTGTGGAGCACAATTTCCCGTGGATAAGTAATGGCGAGCTCCCCAAGTGGGCCTTTCACTTTTAAGTCTTGGCCGTTCATCGTGAGGGTCACAGTGGACGGTACCGGAATAGGTTGCTTCCCTATTCGGGACTCTTTGCACTCTACATTCTTCCTCACAGGACTAACCTGAGGCTTAGGGATCCCAGCAAAACGAAGCTGCCCGTACGCCTCCCCAATAAAAGGGCACCGTAGGTAACTGTTTTGGAGGAAAAATACAGGTCCCAACAGCCACAGAACAATTGAAAAACTTTCATCAAGCTAAATAACTTCTGGGTTCAAAATGGAAACATTAATTACCTGGATTGTATAGAAGCACCCACTGTAGATGCCATTGCACAATAAGAGCCCCAATTTCAGTGCTTCTCAGTGTTCAAGCTATCTGCAACATAAAAAGAACCCAAAATAAGCAAGTAAACTATTGCTTATATTTCTTTCTTGTATCAAATTTTTCTACCTGCAAATCCTAAAGACATTAACTTTCTGCTGAACTAATCTAAGGTACCCCAAGAAAATGTATAAAAATTCAACATTTCATTGCATATGAAAAGCATATTCACTCGTTAACTTTCCCGAGCTCCCCCATCAATAACTGCCATAAAATTGCACTATTTTCAACATTTTTGCCAACAAATGTATCGCTTTACAAATGTTAGCGGCCAAATCAAACGCTGCTTCAGTTTCAGAACAACATCATCATCCATGGGCCTTTACAGATTTCAATATAATTATCGCTCAAAGAGAGACCCGAGACAGATATAATGTGTAGCGAGGAGAGATTCCATTACCTGAGTTGAATTGAAGAGACGTAGCCGAGCCGAGCTGGGAGAGGGATTGTAGAGAGAAGCTAGCCGGTTTTCGGAATTTCACAGAATTAGGATAAGGTGAGTAGGTGACCACTGACCACCATTTGTTATTATTATTATTATTATTATTATTATTATTATATTATTATTATTATTATTATTATTATTATTATTATTATTATTATTATTATTATTATTATTATTATTATTATAGTTCACGATGTTAAATGGGTCAAAAACTATAAGAACCGATTAATTTTGGTCCGGGTATAAATAGGATTTGATCTTATATTTCTCAGTCCATTTATATCATATAGGGCTGCAAACGAACCGAGTGGCTCGCGAGCGCACAAATCAAAGTTCGGCTCGAGCTCAAGTTTGACTGAAATTGAACCGAGCTCAATCAGATCGAGCATACAATCAAGTCGATCTCGGGCATAGGTTTTGGAAGGTCGAGCGACTCGAGTACAGCTCGAGATATATAATGAATTATTAAAACAACTCTTATACTCCCTCTGTTATAAATTACTTGTCGTTGTAGCTGAAAAAAACAAAATTACGTGTTTGAAGGAAGTAGTTAATTTGTCATTCTACATCTCTTCACTCTCCTAAACTAGTACGGAACCCGTGCGATGCACGGGGTAGACAATTTTAAGGCTATTTGCTCGACTTTGTTTTTATTTTTGTGAATAATAAATATTAAGCAAAATAGAATAATGAGACTATTATATTATTAAAAATCTCTTTGTACACATGAGAGACAACTACATATAATTATTCATGACTGAATATTGATTTGTCATTTTTTTTATAATCGTTTATTATTTAGCGGGTCTAACACTTAATCACTTTCTACTGATTATCATTAAATCCTTTTCTTATTAATTAGAACTATTTTGTTGCAGATAGAGTTGTTATACAGTTAATCAAACAACTCATTCAATAAGTTTCAGTTTTTTTTTTTTTCCCCTTTTGGCTCAAATAGTTATTGAATTAATCCATTAGACTAAAATCACAAAACCAATATAATGTGTTTAGAACTTCAATATATTTGTAATAATTTATTCTAGTAGTAGGTGCATGTATCCCGTTCTTTTTCCAAGACAAATAAAATTTTATCACCTAACTAATATAAGCTTTCCTAACTAATATAAGATTTTGCACACATAGATTAGGGTCCATAGCAATCACTTTCTTCTTATTTGGCAACAACATGCTCACCACCAATATCATACAAATTCACATGGTTTGGCGGCTTATTCAGAGTGCTAACATCGTCATCATTAGAGTATCCCTAAGAAAATCCAAATAAAATATTTTTAATAATCCTCCCTATATATAATTCCAGAATGCATTGAGCCTACTTGGCTGCTTCTGGTGCTTCGAAATCCTATTTGGCGAAGAATCATGCTTCGTAGTTAGGTTCGGACAAATAATATTAATATATTAATAATTAATAATCTAGGTTCGGGTATTCCATAAATATTATTTGGCTAACTTAGGTATTTTAATATCACTTTTACTAATATAACCCTTTAATTATTTGTAATTTTACGTAGTGAGACATTAAGTGACTAATATATCCCTAAATTTTGATTTGCTTCCTTCAATAAGCTATTGAATTATAAATATATTTTAAAAGTAGATAATTTTTGTATTTCTTATCGGTTTTACATATATAATATATCAAATTAATCATCTTTTGATGATCTTCGGTTTGACATCCATATTGTATATATAAAATAAATAAATTATATTTATCTTTATAATAATAAAAAATAATAATATTTATTAAAATTCATTAGAAAAATAAAATTATTTCTCAATTGATATATTTATATTTAATGTAGTTATATAGTGTAAGTTAAAAAATTAGTATAATATAACACAAGTAAGTCGTACAAATAAAAAATATCATAATAAATGTATAATAATAATATATATATATATATTCTTATAAAAGGTATTTAAATTTTCAAACTACTTTTTCTCATTAAATTTAAATTTTAAGAAAAAAATTAGTAAGCACCCGTGTAATACACGGGTGTTGTACTAGTTAACATATAAAACAATATTATAAATGAAATAGATAGAATAATAGAAATTAACCTCTTCACGTTCCATCTTTCTTTAGAGTTTAGACAAAAAAGTCCGAGTCATGGCTTTCGGCGGGTAAAGCACCATATTTTCCAACCAAAAGATGACCCACTATCACTTTAACAACCGAATAAGCTCCAAGAAATCCAATTTGATTATTGTAAGCCACTAATAAGATTCAATTAGTGGCTTACAATAATCATCCCTACAAAGCAAAGTTGCATTCGCGGAGTTGTTCACAACGTCAAATTGAATACGGTAACTAACATAAGATGAAATTGCATCACTGCTATCATACTTGTATCAATTAAAATGATATTTGATCATAACTGGTAAATTTATTATGTAAAATGTTCACACATTAAATTCTGAAATAACACCTGAAGGTTCCTGATTCAGCCTTTTCGTTACAAGTCGAGCAATAAAACTTGTCCCCTATTGGAGCCAAAGCCTTTGGAAACGTGACATAAGAGGTAATACCGCAATCACCAATAAAGCCAACTATTGTTGCACATATCCAGAAGTTGTCATCCTAAGAAAGTACATATAAAGTCTATTAAGCATTTTTCTAAAGATTAAAATACTACGTTAATTTCAAATTACATGAATACCAATAAAAAACGATAGGTCGACCAGTTATATTATCACGATCCTCATTGAGCAAGTCTATTAATAAAATTATGTATCGTTGATTCGGGTCCAATAATGACTCTCATCATGTAAACGAAATTTACAATTCATCTAAATTACTAAGTACACATATTTATAACAAAATAACGATGACGCTCTTGAATGCATCAATTTCGTTTCTGTCGAGATTGCCATATCCTATGTGTTTTGCATAATCGAACTTTCACAGGGTTATATAATTGACAAAGATTAAGAACTAATATTAAAAAATATAAAATAAGTATTAAACTACACAATTGGTTTGATTGATTAATTACATCAAAAAGACTTGGCTAGATACATTTGCAACAAAATCACAAGGGGTTCAGATTGAGCGCCGGTAATGGGGATTGATTTCGTCAACGTTTTCAGGATCTCTCAAGTCAACAAATCTCTTGAAGTCATAGGTTATATTTGAAAACTTTTGTAGTTAGATAAATTTGGACAACAATTGCCCGTGTGATTTGGTGGAAAAATATAGAAAAAATTTATCGACTGCATTGGTGGGATTTTCAAAAAAAAATAATAATAAAATAAAATAAATAAAAAAAATTCAAACAAACTTAAGAAGTTAAGAAACTTAAAAATTTTAAGTTGTAATTTAAATTTTACTTTAAGCTAGAACATATTTATCCTACGTACTAACAAATGGCACAACACTACAGGTGCAGATTGAGAGATCCCACGATGCCAAAGCCCCTTTTGTACAGCCAAACCACATGCAATTAGTTAAATTGCATTTAACTATGTAATTATATGATCATCTCCCCAACGAACACTATACAGTACTACTATAAGCAAACAATTAATTAAAGCTCATTTCTTTAAATTAACCTTTTAAATGTGTAGATTTTACAAACTAAAAAACACATTACTATCATCAAATCCTAAAGCAACAACAAGCTAAATTATTTGATGCAGGAGCCATAGCGTATTTTGGACGTATCAACTTTAGAGAAGAAAAGCTACGTGTATTTGATGCGGTTTATTTTAGAAGTATTTTTGGTCCCGTGACCATGCATCAGCTTCGTCTTCAATCTATGTATCCTGCCTCATCGCCTCTTTCTTTGCTTCGAGCGCGCTCAATCATCTACAGTGAGGTTCCGTTTTTCAATGGAGCCGCTATTGGCGGCGCTGCCGAAAACCTCTACATGTTGATGATGGGACGTCTCTTGCTCGGTGTTGGGGTCGGCTTTGCTAACCAGGTTGTCCCGTTATACCTATCAGAAATGGCTCCCTCGAAATACAGGGGAGCCTTCAACTTCGGTTTCTAATGTTTCCTCAGCATCGGGAGCACGGGCACCTTCCTCCTCAACTACGTCACCTCCAAAATCAGTGCCGATCTCGGGTGGCAGATGTCTTTGGCCACGGATGTGGTCCCTGCCTCTGTCCTCATCCTTGGCACCCTATGCGGCCCAACAGATGAAGGCCTGTTCAGGAAGATCTTAAGGAGGCGCTACCACCATATAAACGTATTTCCACCTAAAAAAGTAGTCACGTCCAAAATACATCTCATTAACACCTGAAAGTCCTTAGCTTTTCGAGCCGATCGCATACACCTGCCCTTCATCTCAGTAGATGCAAAGTCATGGCGTGCGACATTTATGCTCGCGATTTTGCTACACAAGGTAAACATGTATGATTTGGAAAATGTTTGCTAAATAAAGTCAAACACATGACTTAGAAACAATAACGTTAACAAAAAGTGAAATAAAAGAGGAGCCAAACCAGTGGGCTCACGACGGGAGATATATACAATTCGCTACAAAACTGTTTATTTGCCGTATAGTGTAAGAATCTTGTTTGATAGATGGGCGGACAATAGATGGAGCAAATGCAACTAAAAAGAGCTGCAATTATTTGACCATCCAATTTTGAGGACATGTTCTCAATAGCAACTCTTGGATGTCTCAATTTTGAGCATGAGTTATATAATACATAACAGACATCATCCAAAAACAACAATTCTCCAGCATAGCTTAAATTTTGAAAAGCAATAGAACTGATTGTTTGGGTACAAAAATATGAAAGAAAGAGAGAGTTAAACATCGTCAGACGCGGATCATTCTGGTAAACATCTGCCCCCGTTGAAAAATGCTGGCAGCCAACCGACTTTCTCCCGGATTCCTCATCTGACGGGTTTTACGATGAGGTAAAAGAACTGAGAGAGAGGTCAAAAGAAATCCCGGATGACTATTTTGTGGTTTTAGTTTGGGACATGATTACTGAGGAAGCTCTCCTGACATATCAGACTATGATAAACACTTTGGATGGTGTTCGTGATGAGACTGGTGCTAGCTCGACTCCTTGGGCTGTTTGGTTAAGGGCATGGACAGCCGAGGAGAATAGGCACGGTGATCTTCTCAACAAGTAGTCCCGTAGACGATAGAATATCCAACAATGACCAAAACCTTTCCATTGAGAGAAACAACACTAATACCCAAAACCCAACTTTGCCCATATCGTTACGGCCATAACCACAATTGCACCCCCTCATAATAGATAAATTGCAGTGAAAACACATTTACATGCTAAGAAGCCCTTACTATTTACCAGGCAGTTCATAACCATAATCAAGAAACGAACAATAATCGTAACAAACCCGATAAAATGTAATAGAACTTCCTCAAATCCCAAAATCCAGAATTAAGGTAACCTGAAATGTGATAGAGGCCATGACAGATTCTCCAGTTTCATCCTGAAAACATCGAGTCGCATTTTTCGCGCCGAAACTCTTCAGCCAATTTATGTCTTAAACCATCCTTATTTACATCCTGCACGAACAATATCGACGTTATTTTTTCACCATATCCACAAAAACTACATAAACACGTACAAAGCACAGTCGAAATGCATAAAAATTAAGGCATATGAAGAGAAAGAACGAATTTTACCACGGATACAATGATACATCCAAACATCCCTTCAAGAGAGAAGCAGAAACGCAAAGAGAGGACGATAGGGGCCCCACACGTCTTCGAGTCCTTCATCTTCATAACTCACTTCTCCTGCTCCGCAGCCGCCACGAGCCTGTCGGCCCCGTCATCCAGCAGCAGCGCCACCCCATCTTCTCCACCCAGTTCATCCTCTATTCCGCATAGATCAGCCACCCAATCGTCGTCGACACCCCGCACGTCACAGCCTCCAGGATGGAGCTCCGACGGCAATGGGTCAAGAATCCAGCCACGGCCGCGTGTTCCAGCACCACTCTCTATGGGGCCAATGACTTTATCACGTAACTCTTACCCTTAGTCCTCTCTAGAAACCCATTCGACAGCAATTTGTAGATCAAAAATATAAATTATTTCTCAACCTAATTACAAATAGAGGCAATAATCAAGATTTATTAACCACACCAACCAATTGACAATTACAATTTGCACATCAAACGAAAAAATAAAAATAAATAATTAGAAAAAAACAAATTTACCGTGACGAACCGGCCGCATTTCATCATTTACCAGAAATCGTCGAAGTTGACCCTCCCGTCGCCACCTAAGTTGCCAGTACTCCTCCGACATCTTCACCTACTTCAACCTCAACGCCACCGTCACGACCTCGGCTCATCCGCCATGTATGAACCCGCCTCGTGCCGATTAAAAAAAACCCTACAAGCCTCTCGCAAGTCCTCTTCATTGTCGTCCCCCTCGTCGCCATCGGCGTCTGCAATCACCATCGCATACAGGGCGCCAAACTCGCGTCCAAATGGGAGTCCCCGTTGGCGTCAATCTTTCCGCCTGTAGCTTTTCCTCCATCGCCGTTCATCGAGCATAGAGAAGACTCAATGGACCTCCGCCGTGCCCTCCCTAATTAGAGAATTAGTTTGGATTTCTTTTTTATCGGTCAATTTAAAAGTTTTCACCCGATAATTTTTTAACCTACTAATTTTTTAAAAGTTTGGATTTCATATACCGAAATTTTGAGACTGAGAATTAGTTTCCACTGAAAATTGGTCCATTAAGATATGATTTGATATAGCAAAATATGATTTTGTTACGTTGTATACCAAAACAAATTGATCTGTCAATTTAAATTTGATTTCATATACCAAAAAATTGTGATCGGACTATTAACATTTGATTTGACATGCCAAAATAAATATGTTTTCTTTAAATATTAGAATATAAATTTTTTACTGAAATTTTTAAAAATATGTTTGAGCGGGATTTTCAAAAATTTTTCAAAAAAATTACTTAGTTTAGTAAGTCTAAAATTTTTAGGCGGGATTCTAATTTCTATTTCAGGTAAATGCCAAACTTTTTTATATTATATAGATATTAATAGTATTTTCTCTCTTCTCTTCAATTTTGTAGTTATCGATAAAGAATTTTGTGTGTAACTTTTCATCTCCTAAACCCCAACTCTACAAATTTTTAGGATTTCAGAAGTTATAAAACTAATTAGTTCATGGTTATCCAGAATGACAATTATTAAGAAAAAAAGAAACGTACCCTCCAACGACAATTAATAGAAAACGGAGGGAATTTATAAATAGTACAATATTTTATATATGTACTCATTGGTAATTTACTTGAAAAATTTATCATTGCTTTCCAATATAACAAAAAAAA